TACCACCAGTTGTAATAATCAAAAATATCTCCAGACATTGCCAGCTGTGCTCTAGGGCACCAAACTGCTCCCGGATAAGAACTACTGGTCTACACAAATGGTTCCCTCAGCAACAGTACCTGGTAATCTTGATACTGGGAATACACAAAAAGAAAGTGCTGAATCCAAGCACTTTACACTTCCAGGGAAGTAAGTTTAGACCAGCATAGTTTGTTACTGCTTCCTTATATACCATACAGTTACATAAAGATAGAAGTAAGATAATTTCTATATTGTCACTTGGGAAAATAATATATCTCTTTTACTGTCTTCATATATTTATTCAATTAGTCAATAGCAAAATTGATTAGTCAGCATATTAAAATGCAATGCAATTTTAAAGAAATTATATTTTCTGCCTGCTTATTTTATGTGAATGAGCTCCATGTTACCAATTCCATGGTGATTTTTGATTATTTATTAGCCTTTAAATTTTCACATAGATAATCAGTCTTTTTTCTCCTGGGTATGCTATCTTCTTATGTTTTCTTTAAAAACTACAACTTTATTGTTTTACCTTTTCTCTGGCCATGACTTATCTACCTCCTTTACTGGCTGCTTCTCCTCTGTCTTCTAAATTTTGGAATTTCCTGTGGTTGAGTACTGGGCCTTCAGTTTTTCTCCCTTCATCCCATCTCTCTGAGTGATCACATCTATTTTCATTTCACTTAACATTCACATGACATCTTATGCCTACTTGACCTCTCCCCTTGAATGTTTCAAAAGCATCTCAATTGAGAAGTCCAAGACTGCTCTTCTTCCAATTTTTCCATCTTCATATATGACATCTCACTAGACCCAGCTGCGAAACACCATAGGATCATAATCGACACTCCACTCACTCTTCCCTTCACATCCAATTCTTTACCAAGTACTATTATTTATACAGGATTTCTCACTCTGTCCACTGCCCATACTCCTCTGCCACTTAGTCCAAGTGGTAATCATTTTTGGATTAAGCTATTGAAATCCTTTTCTAACCTATTTCCATGTGTCTACTCTTGCTCTTCACGAATCTATTCTTCACTCTGCAACTAGTTTAAAAATATTATTCAGGTCATGCAATTTCCTGTGTAAACCCTTCAATCACTTCTGATTGCACTTGAACAACGTGCAGCTGCATAACATGACATGCTAGGCCCAGCGTGATCTGGACTCTGCCAGCACATCTAAGCAACTTCCCCACTTTTTACATGTTTCAGCCATGTGGACCTTTACTCTCTTTCTCAAAGAGGCAAAACTCTTTTCCACTTTGTCATATCCAGTTTCCTGTGACTAGAAGCATCTATAACATTCAGGCTGTTTAAAGTTAACTTCATTGGAGAGACTATCTTTGATCCCCAAAAAACTATAGAATATGCTATATAAATACTTAACATATATCATATGTTAAATTAGTTAAACACTGAAAACTGGAAAATGGGCTTGGAAGCATGGGTCTCTAAACCCAGGATCTGGGATTACCCATACACACACACCCCCTCTCCCAATGTAGACAGTCCAACGTAGTTAGGACATAATTCGTGAACTATAGCATCACTTGTTTCATACAACTGTTTTTCACCACAAACCTATGAGCTTTCTGAGGGCACAAATTGGGTTTATTGATTTCTGGATCTCCAGGTCAGGAGATGCAAAGCAATTGTGAATAAATGGACAAAAGAAAAAACGAAGACAGAATTCATGTCAAAACAATGCTTTATCTATTCAAGAAATTTTAATACATTATTAAAATGTAAATTGATTAGTAAGTTAATTAAATCAAGCATTAATGTTTATTGATTTTTAAAACTTACTAAATTTTTACTTTTAACAATAGCAGTGACATAATGCATTAACAACTCTTAAAGATTAGGATAGAAAACATGAAGGCACTGGTATGAAGTAATCCAGTGAGTGACCAACCCCACCAGAAATTACATTAGTGCACAAAGAAGTGGACACTGACAAGCTAAACGGCACTCTGAATCTGTCTCTAATATGACAGACAAATATGGACATTTCCAACCCTAACTTCTTCTTTACAGGTTGTGAATATGTTTTCATGAGATAAAGACATTAGAGGCAAAAAGAAAAAGAAAAAACAGAGATGATAGAACAACTCTGGAAAATGATTTGCCACAGCAAGTTCTAAAGAGCTGCTTTGCTTTCTCAAAAGTTTAAGAATCCAAGGATGCGACGTAACAATGACCCTTCCCACTTCACTCCCTCCAACACTGGCAGCTGCAATTCTCTTTATCCTTTTCTTTTTCTGCAAAAAGATCATAAGATTTCAAATATCTTCCAATATTTTTACAGGTAAAGCTTGGTTGATTCTGTTAAGATGACAAAGGTACAGTAGCCAATGAAGGAAAAATGAACGATTGCAAATTCTATCAGATTGCCTGATAAAAGGCAAGTCAATCATTTATATCTGATGTTTGCATTTTCAACTCTACATTTTAGACCATGTTGCCTTCAGTGAAGAAAAAAAAATTTAAACACCATTACTCTATTGGAGGGGAAAAAATTATCTAAAGTTGTGAAATTAACCTCTCTCTTCATTCACACATTCAGTTCTATTTTTGCAGTTGTACCCGTAATGTAAAAGAAAAAGAACTGCAAGTCAATTCCAGGTTTCTAAAATGTCTGACTGTGCATGTCCCAGTTCTCTTCAGCACCTCCCATAAGATTCAGCCAATTTTTATTTCTACAGCGCATCAGTGTTTATCATTTGTTTTACAACAGCACTGCATGTTCTCAAAAACTGACTTAGATGTATTTCACCCTCCTCTAAAAAACTCAAGAGAGACAAATGGCCTTAAAAAGAAAATCTACCACTGAGGCATGGTTAATTTACTAAAAGAGCATTTCTTTTTTTACCCTGTCAGTTCAATATTTACTTTTTACAGTGGTAACTCTGTATCATCCCCACCCGCCTCTGTATTTTTCAAGATTTATGACAAATTTCCAGCCTGTAATTAGACATTATGAAAATTCACTGTGGGAAAACTATTACTAGAGAAAAGTTTTTCCATTAAGCTTGCTTTATAGGAATACTGATGACTTTCACCTTTAGGAAGGCTAAGAGCAAAACCATGGATGCATTTTGAGTGCACATGTTTAAAACAAACCTATTTCTTGTGGACAAATGCTCTAAGAAGTGAGACAGACTTGGGACAAAATCCTAGCTGTCTCTTATGAGCTGGGTAAGTAGCTTAGGCTCTCTGCACCTTAGTTTCCTTTTCTATAAAATGAAGATATTAATAGTAAGTATTACATAGGAACAAAAGGAGTAGTAAATAAGAAAATCACACAGTACAGTGCCAGGTGCATTGTAAATGCTCTATAAATGACAGCCATTATTATTTGATGAATAGGGCAGAAAAGAATAGCTTAGGGAAGGTCCTCACCATCCATTTTTTGCCATCCTCAGAATTTCACCATTCTCATTACCAATGAAAAAAATATCTGAGAAACTTGCAGCCCTGGAAGACCTCTACCTCAGAGATGGCTGCATAAGAGCTCAGACATGAGGCAGCCTCTCAGGCCCAACAGTGTTGCCTAAACCCAACTGCAGCACCCCTCCTCTCATGCATTACAGGAGCCCATGAAGCAATGACAGGATCTTTTCCATGGGATCTACTCCTTGCTCTGTGAGCTTTGACAAATCACTACTTCCGCATCCTCTTGTCCTTGAGAGGGTGGACAAGACAATCTCAGACCCTTTTTGTTTGTAGAGAGAATTAATTCAGAGTTGGAGTAAAGAGGAAAACCAAGGAGTTTTCAGGGGGTGCAAAAGCAAGCAAGACCTCTCAATGGAGACGGTTCCTAGCCTGGCATTATCAAATAATCAGGAGAAAAGCAATAATCAGAAGACAACCCAGTATGCTCAGATACAACCTTTGGCTTTCTGCTTGGACAAATCACAACCCTACCATCACTCTAATAATTCTGACTAACAGTTGTAGAGCTAACCAACGGTGAGCCCTCTATGTTCCCAGCAATTTTCAGAGTCTAGGCATGCATTGGCTCATCATCCCTCATGCTCAGGAGATCAGTGCTATTGTATTCATTTTCAGGTGAGGAAACTGAGGCATAGAAAGGTTAAGAAATTTTCTTAAGGATACTGAATTGTGATGGAACCAAAATTTGACCCCAACAGTCTGGCTCCGGAGTCTACAATCTTAACACTGACTATCCCCTACTCCTGCTCCCACTATTAAAACAACCACTGGAAACTCATCTGTGCTTTCTGTGACTCATAATTCAATTTTCTGTAATGATATTTCTCTAAACCTTATATGGCTGAGCTGGTATTAGCCTTTAGAAAACTTTAGTCCTCTTTATTTAATGTTCACAGTAGGCATATTTCAAAATACTGCAATCCAACTAGATTGAAGGAGGGAGTCTGCCACAGAGGTGTGGATGACACAACCTGGGCTCTGAAGTCACAGCTGTTGAAGTTGTGTGATAGATGCATGGGAAATCTCTACACTATTCACTCTATTTTTGTTTTGTTTGAAATGTTTGATAATAAAAGAGTAAAAAGCAACAAAAATTTTCAACCACAAAGAAGATAACATAAGACTACGCTGTTTCAGGATCCAGAGGGACATTCAGCTTCAGTAGATAATGCCCCTGCTGAAAATTCCAGGCTAAATTTTGAAAACTGAGAGTACAGGAGCTTATTTATCAATATTTTTACTGACTCAAGAACTATCTCCCCAAAATACTTTAATCTTGCCTAACTGAATTAATAAAGGCTTTCTCAGAGTTGAAATTTTTTGCTCAATGTAATTTTTGTTGTTGCTGCTGCTACTGCTACTGATTGGAAAACCTTTTGCTTCCCTCCTTGTGACAGGTTTATCTTTCCACAGTCTACAAATCACTAAAGACAATTTGCGGAGTCAAACTTAAAAACGTCTATCCCCATTATCTTTTTCACAGTTCTCTTAAAAGATTAAAAGAAAGAAACTTACCCCTTCTGTTGTGCATTCCTTCTTTGCCAAAGTGTGCTGTGGTTTCGAAAACTAGCTCAGTCCTTCTGAACTTTTCTGTATCCGTTATAAATTAAAGAGCCACAAGGAAGGGAAGTGGTTAGTCAACTTGCTAATTTTATCAGTCCCTCCCACTGGTTAAATAGTACCTGATGCTACAGACGCAGTATCAATTTTCCCAGCTCATTTCCCTGCTATTGAACGACTTTAGACCATATAACTTAGGGGCAGAAAGAGTGACTGTATCTGGTATGTAGGCGTGAGAGTTAAAGAATGAACGTTTTATTGCTATTAATAAGAAGCCTAATAGACTACAGAAACCAGCAATTTAACAGAATGAGGAGGAGGAAACAGAATGTTTGTCAGCTCCATACTCCAAGCATACTCAATTTGGGTGGGAAGAGGAGTGATTTTTTAATGCAATCAGAGGACGTGTGGGAAGTGGCTGGTGTTTCATTTGCTGATAAATGATTCTGCCCTGGAATGGATCCAGTTTACAGATATAGAAACTTCCACAACTGGGGGCCCTGGCTTCAACAACTCTCTTCCTCTGGAGCTTACTAATTAAAACACAGGGCAAAGTACCAAATGTGTCCTTCTGAATGAGGGAAAATGAGACATCCTCTGAAGAAGCAGCTATGAATTCTTTCCTAGATGTAAAGACCTCCAGTGAATGAGGAAAAAGCAGAGGCTGAGACCAATTTTAATGAAATAAAATGATGTTGCTATTTCCATCCCACTCCAAAAGATTTCAACATAAAAATCACTGTCACTCCAGAACCCTAGATTATGCAATTTGCTGAGCTACTTAAATGGGTACATTTGAATTACATCCGGAGTACTCACTTTGAAGTGCCTTTCCCACCATACCTAAGGATTGTAGCATTAGAAGAAAAAAAAGTCTGAAAATTAAATCATCTTGAAGGCTCATTAGTTCTTGCTTTTGATTGGCTAAGAAATGTTTCTTCAAAGAAATTCTGATGTATTTTATATATTTACATGTGGTGACAGTTTCACAAAAAGAGTTAAATTTGATAAGCTGAGGCAAGCTAAGAAAACTAGCAATTCTGTCACTGACACCCTCCTTAGCATTACCCCAAATTCAATGATAGTTAATTTATAAAATAAAGAAATGGAAAACTTTGGAGACTTACTGAATTTATTTTCCACCTCCCAAGCCTCTTTTATAATTAGATCTAAGAAAACGAAAATGTAAGTACTATACCGAAGTAAAATACAAGCAATGCCTTGCTCTGAGATCTCTCCAATAATTTCTCTTGAAGAACAAAAACCACACAATTCTAAGCCCCCAAGGTCATATCTGAGTTTAAGGTGAGAACAATACTTCACAATCATGACTTTGGATTGTCCCTCTCACATCTGTAGCTTTTGCATCTTCAGGAAAGGAGGAGGAAAAGACAGAGTTCTAGAAGAAAAAGAAGAGGGAGAAAGTAAAAAAGGGAGAGAACCTTGCTTCTTTGTCCCCTTCTGCAAAACTCTTTCCCAAGCATTTACATTTGGTGGCTCCTCTTCGGCCTCATCCATAAGCCTTCCTCACCCATTCAAACACACCTATTTGCCCCTCTCTGAAATCCTGGAGCATATTTCATCGTCTAGGCATAACTTATTTCTATGAAATGTCTTTCTTTCTTTTCTTTTTTTTTTTTTTTTTTTTTTGAGACAGAGTCTTGCTCTGTGGCCCAAGCTAGAGTGGTGCAGCGGCGTGATCTCAGCTCACTGTAACCTCCGCTTCCTAGGTTCAAGCGATTCTCCTGCCTCAGCCTCCCAAGTAGCTGGGATTACAGGCACCCATCACTATGCCTGCTAATTTTTGTATTTTTAGTAGAGATTAGGTTTTACCATCTTGGCCAGGCTGGCCACGAACTCCTGACCTCATGATCCACCCACCGTGGTCCCCCAAAGGGCTGGGATTACAAACGTGAGTCGCCATGCCTGGCCTCTATGCAATGTCTTTCTAGAAGCCTGTAAGCCTCTTTAGGACCAATGTATATTCTCAGTGCTCACCTAGAGGATTAAGCTGCTCAACCACAAAGCCTCACTTTTAAAAACAAGTATTTTGTAATGCCTCTTTTACTAACCTAACAACAAAGCTCATAGTTTACACAAACAATCTCTATATATCATATTCTTAAAGTTCTCCAGGCATGAGCATAATTTACATATTGAGGATGTGATCTGATGTCTGCCCTACTACCAACAAATAAATATGAATTAAAGAGAAGCAATAAGAAGCCACTACTTTCAAGAAGGGTAAGAAAGTCAAAGACTGGAGGGTTAAGTGGTTGCATGGACATGAGGATACAATTTAGTTTCAGAATAAGAATAAAGCAGACTTACAGGCCAATGATAAAAAGAAAATAAGAATAACTGAAGTCTAGATAACATGCGAAGGCAAATTATAGATGGTAAAAATAAAGAACACACAAAGAATTAATATTCTCTCATAAAATCTGAGATTTCTTTCTCTCTCCCTTTCTTTCTGTCTTTCCTTTTCTTTATTTTTCTGGTGGAGTCTCACTCCATTGTCCAGGCTGGAGTGCAGTGATATGATCTCAGCTCACTGTAAAGTCCATCTCTCGGTTACAACCAATTCTCTGCCTCAGCCTGAGTAGCTGGGATTACAGGCACCTGTCACCATGATCAGCTAATTTTTGTATTTTTTTTAAGTAGAGACAGGGTGTCACCATGTTGACCAGGCTGGTCTTGAACTCCTGACCTCATGATGCACCTGCCTCAGCCTCCTAAAGTGCTGCAATTACAGGCATGAGCCACCATGTCGGACTGAGATTTATTTCTTATTCATAAAAAATGTTAAAGGAGTGTTAATTTTGCTTTTTGTTATACTGAACAAGGGAGGTACAAATGAGCACTGATAGAGCTACATTGTGTTCATTATCCAAATATCATGAGCCACCTTGTTGTCAGTGATATGGTTTTCCAAATGGTCAACAATTTGCAGTAAATCTTCCAAAGTAAAGAACAATTTTACCTGAAATTATACAGTAGCTGTAGTCTTAGGAAATTCAATGTATACTAAAACTGAATTAAACCAGTTTTTAAATGGGCAACCAATTTTGTTTCTAGGCTCAAATAATTATAAACAGGTATTTCGCCTATATGAATACCCAAAGGGATTGCTGAAAATGCGGGATACAACTTCCAGGCCCAAAATGGCCTCTCACATAACAAGACTGCACTCCACTAAATGCCAGTAGTGTCCTCCAACCACTTCTGCATCCAGAAAACACTTTCAAATCTTCCTTTAGGGGCCAGTACAGTCTCGCTGAAAAGCAATACCCTAGACAAAATGCTACCCTTCAAACAGCTGGCTTTGGGAGTCAGGCAGGCTCATCAGGATATGAAGGAGATCAGGATAGGAATGCCCTGAACACAGAGCGCATGTTACGGCTTGCTAAGGTCAACTGTGGCCACCTGCTCCCAACTGTGGCCTAACAGGAGTCTGAGCCCTAGCAGCACAAAACCACCATCTATCAAGAGAAGATGGACATCTGGATTTTTATATGAAACCTCCTTTTCAAAAAAGCATTGGCAAACACTCTTTAAACTACACAAAGTTTGTCTTTAGGCTAACATGATTATTTGTTGCTCAATCAAAAACATATAACAACATTTACAAAATATGTAATGTCAGGGTATGGTATTCAGTGTAACAAGTACTTTGATCCCCTATTGTATATATGAATTATATAGAATAAACTGGAGTACCTGCTAATATGTTAATAAGAATTCTCTATTAATGTATTATCTTTTCATTTTTTTCTTTGCAGTATTTTCTAATTTTTCTAAAATAAATACATAAGACTTTGCAACTAAAAAAAAAATAGAAAAGGGTGACAGTACAAAACTCCATCTAAAAAAAAGAAAATATATTTCCATTTTAAAAATTGGAAGATGGTAGTTATAAAAAAAAACTATTTAAATACATTCAGAAAGGACTACCATTAACATGGGCAAAACAAATTAAATTCCTTTCAAATACCCATTTCTGCTTCAACTCAAGCACTGGTTAGAGAGCAGATGTAAAAATTAAACTGTCTGCAAATCAGAATGGGGACATGCCCAGGTAATGGAATCATTACCTTGTGTGCTAGATATGTAAGTCATTATATAATCTCTTTTATTACATAGCTAGAGCCCGCACAGGAAGGATCCAAGTCTGACTGCATCTCACAGAAAGCACTAAAATAATTGTGCATCAATTTAAAAAGACCTAGAGTTCCAAAAGTGGTAAAAAATAAACTTTCCTCTGAGCAATAATAATAATAATAAAGTTAACCTTTAAAATGAAGGTGCTTTAGTAATTTAATTACTTTTTCCTATTTACAAAGTTAATATTAGAAGCTGAGTCATGTTGGAATTCAATAAAATTACTTTATTAATTTCCTCTTAGGCTTAAAAAATACTTTATTAAACTTCTCTTTTTATAATTCAGTCTTATCCTTCACTCTGCTGAAGACTTGGACCACATTTTATTCCTATAAAAACTGATTTTCCCCCAAATTAGAAATATGTAACTAGAAATGATTTAAAACTGATCCTCCTAGGTACCAAACACAACATCCCAAAAAATAAGATTATATCTTGATATATCATACATAATAAGACTATGTAAAACATGCATTTAAAAACACTATAAATTCTGTAATTACTATTGAATTTTCACAAGTTAGAAAAATGTACCACTAGACTGTATAGACAGGGACTAACTGAACCATGGCAATTGGCAGGAAAATGATGATACAATTTTTAGAGATATTCCTTTTTATTTTTTTCTTAGGAAACATGGTCATGCATGGGGCTTATTTTGAAAGGAAATTTAACCTTTTTCCTGTCTTAAGTTATATGCTGACTAGAGCTTCAGTTCTTCAATGTGTTCAAGTTTATTTCAATTCTGCAGAATCAGAAGATTATACAGTTTGTAAACTAAATATTTCCTTTCAGTTGTATCTTTCAATTTTGATTACAAAAGCAGATGGTTGCAGGTTTGAAAGTTGCTAGCTCAACATTGTCAAGGAACCTAGGGTAAACAGCAAAATTATCAATTGCCCAGCATAAAAAGAAAATCTCATAAGCATAGTATCATGCAGTATGTTTTTCTGAGATGCATCCCAAATTTAGTCTCTTTAGAATGCCTTTGGTATTTGACTAAATTTAGTGCTAAGGTGATTATATTTAGCCAAGATTTTGCTTACTGACATATATTCAAATAAATGAAAAACTACCACTGGAACACAATGTGTCTAAATATACACTTGCTAAAAAGAAGAACATTACAGTGTGCCCTTCTTCTCTAGTAAACATAAGATATAATACTCAACCTCACTGGTAAGCAAATAAATGTAAATTATGAAACATTAACATTTTTACCTGTCAATTGATGCTAATAGATGACGGCAAGCACATGATGTGAAAAACACTGCTGGTAGGAGTGTAAATTGGTACACCTTTCCCAGGGGAAAAAAAAGGTCACACTATATCAAGACTTTTAAACTGTTCACACTTTTTTAAGAGAGATTCTATTTCTAGGAATCATTTCTAAAGAAAAAAAATCAGGGAAATGGATGATGATTTATGTAAATGAATGTCCATCACACTGCTACTTTAAAGTGTTATTGAATATCTGCAAATGGTGAATATGCCCAACATAAGGGAAATAATAAAAGAAACTATGGTATAATTCTATGACATTGTACAAATTTATACAAATCAGGATATTGAAAATGTTGAATAACAATACAAAATGAACAATATTGAGTAAGAGAGAAGATACAAAAATATACATTATGAGTTGGTATTATGACCCAAGTCTCAGAAATCAAAACATACACTGGCCCTTCACACCCTCACAACTTCCCCCAAATTTTATACACACAGTCAATGGAAAAGAGACCAAAAGAAAAGCCCAGAGTGTGAAGACTGTGTTCTTTACTTGTCCTTTGGCTTCTGGAACTGTATTTCATTTTAATTTGGTTTAGTGAATTTTTATTTCTCTCTTTCATAAAGTGAAGCTTGCCTGGCAACTCAGAAGCTTTAGGGTGAAATCCACCTCTCTTTAATTTGGAAACAACCGTCAGTGGGTCCTTATTTTAGTTACTCCACAAGAAATTACATTACTTTTTAAAACAGAGTGCTGAAAATCATGTCTGATTTATAGCAAAATGAATTTTTAAAATTTTACCTGCAACAAGATTAAGAGTGAGTTTTGGATTTAAATCAAATGAAGAAGAAAGAAAGCTACCTTTATCTAGTCCTTATAAAACCAGGCACTGGACAAATTGAAGCTCTTTTAGTTATCACAACAACCCTAAAGGTTATGTTTTCTCATATCTAATTTATACATGGGGAGACTAATTTACCCAAAGATTAGGTAAATTGATCAAGGTCTCACATTTGGTAAATCAGGAACCAGAATTGATCATAGTTGATCCTGACCACAGAACCAAAGACTAACACAATATACCATGATTTTATATTGGAACACAGGTAGTTAACCTGTGGTAGTCTTAAAACATGTTTTTCTTGTCTAATGTTACTATGGTGGAAAATGAAATAAGAAGTAATGGGGAATTGAATACATTAACAACTGAATACATTAACTCAGTCTATTTTCTGAACCAAACGTCAGGACACAGGATGTGAACCTATGAAAAAGAAGGAGTCCCAGAGTTTCATGTTTTATGTAACTACCATTTGCCTAATGTTTAATGAAAAAGTGTGTGTGTGTGTGTGTGTGTGTGTGTGTGTTGTAAATACCAAATTAAATTTATAATTATTGGTAATGACTTTAAAGGTAAAGTTTTAACTATTATACAAATAATATAACACAAAAAAAATAGAGAGACAAAGCAAAAAAACTGCCTCATTATCCCACACTACACAAAAAGTCAATAAGAACAATTTGGTGGCCTCCTGGACTTCTTTCTGTTCACATTCACAAAATTATGGCCGCACTTAAGGAAATGAAGGTTGTGTAAATTGTACAAGTGACATGAGGCATGGTTTACCTTTAAACACATTGGTTTAACTTCCAGAGGATCTCCTTTCTAACTTTTTATTTTGCTGGGGTCAGAGGGGAGAATACTCCACTAACAAAGAAATTGAGAACTTTGTTGTTTTGGTTTATTTATTTTTAATACTTTCCAAAACTCCAAAGTATTAGGTTTTCCTTTTCAGCAAATCATTTAATTCTGCAGCTGAATGTCTCCCATCTATAAATAAGGGTGATTACCTACAAGAGTCAGAAAAAGTCAATGCTCAGTAACTATATGAAATTATTTTTCATTATCTTTCTTTTAAAATGTTTTAGATGTATGACACACGCTTATCAAAAATAAAATGCAAACCTTTAGAATTTTAAATGAAGAGTTAAGATACCATTGGGTCATGTGCACTCACAACCTGTTATGAAAAAAAGAATGATTATCGGTTCACCAAATCATAGCCATACCACTTTTATACTTTGTGCTACATAAACTTGGTATTCTACTACATTAAAAATAAATCTTTAATTCCTCTTTACTTTACTCAATCTCTTTGATATGGTTTGGCTTTGTGTCCCCACCTAAATCTCATCTCAAATTGTAATCCGAACATATCGGTGGAGAGGCCTGGGGAGAGGTGATTGGATCATGGGGGTAGACTTCCTCCTGGCTGTTCTCATGATTGTGAATGAGTCTCAGGAGATCTGGTTGTTTGAAAGTGTGTGGCATATCCCTACTTCACTCCCTCCTGCCACCATGTGAATAAGCTGCCTGTTTCCTCTTTACCTTCCACCATGATTTTAAGTTTCCTGAGGCCTCCCTGTCATGCTTCCTGTTGAGCCTTCAGAACTGTGAGTCAGTGAAACCTCTTTTCTTCCTAAGTTGCTCAGTTTCAAGTAGTTCTTTACAGAAGTTTGAAAACAGACTAATTCACTCTTCCTATGTTATTACTATACCCTACTATGAAATATCTCCCTTTACTGGGTTAGAGTGTTATTTGAGTATCTAAAAAACAGAGATGGAAATTTCAAGGCACTGAAAACCAGAAAAAGGTCAAAGAGTTTCACATGCCCTACTTATTACCTTTCAAATGTAGGGCCTAAAAATGTTCAGAATTTCCAACATTTCTTTCAGCCCTAATTTTAAGGGTTAAAAATCTTTAATCAATCAAATAGTCCAGGGCTACAGCTAGTTCTGTTCACATGGTGACTGGCTGTATAGAGTGAAGATTACAACCCTAATCAACTGGCCAAAAGAAGGGAGTGCTCAGACTCATTTATTTTTCCCCAGGGGATTGATAAGGAGACATTGTGAAATGCAACTGCAACATCATTTCGCCTCATGGGATACATGGGGATAAGTTTTTCACCATATTACACATAATCCAAGTAAGCAAAATTCTTAAGGAAATGCTCACAAAGTGATAATCACTTTCCCTCAGTACAAATATGCCATTTCCCTTTCAAAAAAGGGTCCTGGGACTTTGCACTGTCTTGTTTAAGAATAATAATCACAATGTATCACTCTCATCTATTTCCCCTAAGAAGTAAAATGTTTTTATTTCTTAAGGACAGGGAGTCTTGAGCACCGTTTTGAGATTTTCGTGAGAAATATTCACAACATACTTCCATTTACTAACTATACAATCTTAAGAATGTTATTAAACTCTCTGGACTTTCTCATTTACATGGGGTTTATAATACCTA